AAGATGAAATAAGTATATGATCGAAAATTAGTGGACCCACCAACCCAAAATTACAAACAGTAAAGGATTCATGACAGGGTGCCCAGGTGGCTCAGTCGGTTAATTGTCCAACTCTTGATTTCGGCTCAGGTCATGATCTTAGGGCCGTGAGATCAAGCCCCTCATCGGGCTCCACACTCATCCGGGAGTCTGCTGGAGATCCTCTCTCTCTCTCTCTCAACCGCTATCTCTCTCTCTGCTCCTCCCCCCCGCTCATGCTCACTTGTACTCTCTCTAAAAAAATAAATTTTTTTAAAAAAATTTTTTAAAAAGGATTAATGATAATTTTATCTGAATTGTCCTAGATCTCAGTCTGGAGTCAGCAATGCTCACAGTAGAATTCAATCAAACAGTAGCCATTTAAGGAGCATTTTCAAGGTGCTGGAAACTTTATATACATCATCTCAACTAGCCTCACTTTTCAGGTGAGGTCACTGATGCTCAGAAAGTGATGCACACCAAACCACGCCAGTAGTAAAAGACAAAGCCAGGTTGGAGCTCAGGTCTCAGACCCCAAGCCCCTGCCTGACCCTTTTCCCTGAAAAGCAGGCCAATGGGCAGTGCCCTCAAACGAGATGGCATTTTAGCAGTTACACCACTTTTTACCCTAATTTCCAAGTCAATGCCAACCTAGACATGGCTTAGTGTTTGGAGTCTTCAGCCCCTCAAAGTACAAAGCCCCACACATTCTCAATCACCCTTCCCCTGTCTATTCCCTACCTCCTGAACATAACCTATGTACCAGAAATAACAGTGAGTTTCTGAGGAAAGCCTGGGAGGACGTAGTCTCTTCAGTGCTGCATTTCAGTAGAAACTGCCCAGCAGAGGGGTCGTGTGACTCCCAGCTGACCAGCAAGTCTCTGCAGCATGCTCTGCACATGGAGCACACTTGAATAGCACCTGCCTGATGGTAAGCGTCTAGCTACGGGAATGCCAAGGCTGTGCATTGCTATCAGTAGTAATAATCAGTGCTGCCTACGGTTTGCTTCAAACGGTCTGAGGCTCTTTGACTGTGTCATCTCACTTAATTTTCATGCCAAGCCAGGGATGGTAGTATTACGTCTTGCAGATGAGGAAGTGGAAGTTCTGTTTACCAATCAAAGTATGAATTAGCATCCAAACGTGTTTGCTCCGTGGTACAACCTCCCAACCTCTCCAATGTCACGAGAACCAGGAGAACTTCCTCCTTGCATCTCTCCCAGCAAAGAGACATCTTCTGAATGAACCACCTATTTCCCACGGATGAAGAACATGGCCAACGTGGACCTGGACACAGCCTGGGTCTCCTGGGGGGTTACCTGTAGCATCACCCAAAGGGCGTTTGTGATGGTCACAGAGGGAGAGAATGGTGTGGACACCATTCCATTACGTGTGCAAAAAGGGGTCTAGAACTAGAAGTACTTGCCACAGCCTCACATCAACCTGAAAATGATCACTTTTGTACAAGATGGGGAAGGGAAACAGCACATCATGCTGGACTTAGCATTATAAAGGAAGCATACAGAGGGCATGAGAACCCTCTTCCTCTGCTTCCTTTGCCTTCCGTGTCAACGAAGCCTCAGTAATTATTTGTGACTTATGTTCCTGGAAATGTGTGAACTGACAAATCCATTTCTTTCCCTTTAGCTACGGGATGATGTAGACATGAGATGAGGATAGGGAAGGGAGGGTGCCCTGGCTTTGACTTTGGAGACAGCCGACCCGAGGCCCAATGGCTCACCAGCTGGGGCTCACTGGACCAAGCTTCCGTTTTCAGAAAAGGCACTTTTCAGCTCCCACAGTCTTCAACTACTGATCTGCCGACAAAAAGGGAATTATCTGTCTCGGGTCTCTTCCCCACTCGAGATTCCATGTCACGTAGGTAGAAAGCTACCTCTTGGAACTGCCCACTTCTCCAGCTGCTGAAGAAACACCTTCCCAATGCTTCCACCAGGCAGGGATGCACAGCTCAATTTCATGGCCCGCTAACCTTATCCACCTGGCACCTCTCAACACCAACCTCACCCCCCCGTCTCCCAGGAAGACATCAGTAGTCTCCATCTGGTCGTCATATCCCACCTGGGGAGGGAGTTCTCTTTCCCCACCCCACCACCACCACCATCAGGAGAGGAAAGGGGCTTGGGGACTGGAGTGATGATCAATATGGAGGAGTTTTATGAAAAAGAAGCTGTATGCTATCTCCGAAAGCATAATTATTTCCTGAATTATTATGTCACTGGTTCCCCCTTCTAGCTTAAAGTATATCGGACCATATCCTAGAGCTTCTTCGAAATCACCAGCAGAGCGCTGTGGATTATGTTCTTCCCACCTTAGAAAGTCTAGCGATCTAGGTCAAGGAATTGTTTTGCTACCATTCTGTCTGGTGTTATAAACTTTTCCCCAAATGTCCATTATTCATTCAATCATTCATTCAACAAATATTTATTGAGCACCTATTGTGTACAAGTTCCTGTATCAGTCTGAGAATCCAGCAATAAATAATAGGAAGCTCGTGTTCACACAGAGATGACATTCTAATAGGATGGTGACAGACACCAAATAAATAAGCCAACACATATTATAGGATTTACTGTAGCTTAGAGATAAGGTATCTTAGAGCCAGACGGACCCTGTAAACACAGAGATGGGGAGAGAAAAGGAAAAAAAAAAATTTTTTTTTCTAGTAAGGGCTAAATAAACCCCATCTGGCATATTTCTTGGTACCTAAGATAAATGTAATTTGGGGAAATTCTTTACATATAGAAATGTAATAGCCACGTCTTGTTTTCTTTCTCAGAAAGCCAGAGTTGTCAGCTCCCCAGGAGGTCTCAGGGAAGAGCCGTAGGCTCCCGCCCCGCACCAGCAGGTGCTTTCACAGCCTGGCACACACTGCCTGGATGGCGAATGGGTTAAGGTGTCGGCGCCAGAGCTCGGAGCGCTGCATAAACAGTGTGCGTCAGGCGTTCTAAGCGTGCTTCCTCCTCCTTGTCTCCCCGTCCTGGGCTGTCAATCACCTGTCACTTGCCCGCACATCAGCAGCATCGTGCACATCACCAGGCTGTCAGCAAAGAAGCTGATGAGCCTCGGCTCCAAACTGTCAATCATCTTTGTTTCTCTTCTCTGCTCAGGAAATATTTTGGCTCACAGAAACAAAGAAACCTGGACAACAATGGCTTATAGTCAGGCATTTACTCCTGTGCATGGGTATAAGTAAGATCTTAAACGGGTACTGATCACGCCTTACCCTCAAATGGGGTTGGGGTTGGGGGGGTGGGCAGAGGGAAGATCGAGACCCTATTGCATCAGTACAGGCTTTAAAACTAATTCTAGTTCCCTGAGCAGACCCTGATGGATTCACAAACCAAAAAAAACAAAACAAAACAAAAAAGCAGAAACAAAACAAAGAAACCCACAGGAACACAAAACAATGGTAACTTGAAGTTATCTGAGCTTACGCCTCAAAAGAAAATGAGAAAGCTCAGAGGATGGATGACTGCATGGTTTGAAATTATTCACCATTGATCAGGCAGGCTTTTGGGGAGAGAGTAATTGTTGGATTGCAGAGTTCATTTATCTCCCGGGACTTCTGAAACAGCGGCTTCTGTACCCGACTTTCCTACTCTCCAGGGCATGAGGCTGCTTGGGGGCACCCACACACAGGAAAGCATGTTCACTCTTCAGGACCCCCATGAGCTGGGCTTGCCAGCGCTTATGACAGGAATCATTATGTTGAATGCAAAGACCCTCTAAAACAGCCCACTGTCTGGCATAACCAGCAGCCCCTCTCACCCAAAATACTTATTAGAAATGTCCCGCTCCCTTAAAAGCCCACAACGAATAAATCTAAAGAGATGCTCCTGGCAACGAGTTCCAATTGGACATCAAGTTTAAGTTGTCCTGCTCTCCCCAGTTTGCCACTTGGGCAAAATCACCATGCATGCATTAGCATAATTAATCAGCTCGTCATACAATAGATCCAAATACTACTAAGTTGTCCAAAGCCCTCTAAAGTTAAAACAAACAAACAAACAAACAAAAAACTCTAGTGGCTTTGAAATACATTTAGCAACAATCAGATCTTTTAATCATGTTTATCATGAGCCTTATTATCTATCAGTTGCCCAATGCTCTGGATTGACGGTTCATACACACGGTGGTTGGTTCCATCATCATCTCTGTGTTTGTGACATTTGGGATGTTTTACCTTCTGACGGATCCTTTCATACGTGCAATGCCGATTTCTGAAAACACATCTCTTTCTGATCTACCCAGACATTAATTGCTGATGTTTCTATGCCTCTTAGTCTTATAGCACAACTAGCAAATCTGATCTCTGACAAGTTGGCTGAACCTAATCAGGACAGATCAGCTGCTACCCAAGGTGCCAGGGGCAGTAATTTGAGGATCTTTACAGAGTTATCACTCGCTGGAAAGACAAGGAACTATAATTCTGTCAACACTAATCCAAAACTGTATGTTCAAAGCAGCAGTGGCCTCTCCCCTGCCCCCAAGAAAAGCTAGCACTTGTCAAATAAATACCTGAGATAATTGATAAGACAAAATTAGGAGGCTGTGGCTGATACAGTAACTGTGAGAATTTCTTTTTTTTTTTTTTTAAAGGAAACTTCAGAAGCAGAACATTGGGCATGAAATGTCAGCTGTAAAGGATAAAGGAGGGTCACAGGGAAGAGGTGGATGGAAACCCCGTAATCCAGCTCCCACTTATCATTGGGTGACTTAGTTCATATTTGCCTCACTCGCTAAACAGACAGGTGCCCAAAGATTCTCAGCCTTGAAGGAAAGCTCTCTCAGCTGACCCAGGCTGCCACCCGGTGACAAAGCCTTGATGGGAAGCAAGAACCTCGTCAGCAGAGGAGGTGTTATTGTTAGGCTGTCAGCCCTGTGCTATTCTCTGAAGACCCCTGTGGTTTTCTTACAGGCGCAAAAAGAAGGGATATTAGAAAAATAAACTTCTTTCTTACTGTAGCGCTTTGGTCCATCTTCCAAACAAAATGAAAGAGTTAATGTGGCATCGTCTTCAAAAAACTCGGTGGCAAATGCGTCCCACCAGAGGTTGTCGCTATCCTGCAAAGAGACAGATCATTTATTTAACAGGCAAGAACAGAAACTACCTCAAAGCAGGAAAGGGAAAGGAAAAAGAAAGACAAACCCAGTTTCCACTTGCTTGTTACTCAGCATATGTGTGTGGGTGTCCTAGAAGGCTCGTGGGCGAGCGTGTGGTCACTCCTCAAATTAATTGCCTCAAATGGGGACCGAATTCCAATTCAATAAATGAGTGAATGCAAACTGAATGAAAATTAATTCTCCAGGACATATTTGGGGAGATTTAATAAATGTACTTTGGAACACAATGTGACATTCGTTAACAAAAAAGGTTTACATTTCACGTAAAATACATTCAACTTCTTTTTGGTCTCTCTTTCTCTTTGCTCTTTTAAGAATTTGATTTTACCACCATACCACAACGAGTTGAAGGAGAGTACATTTTTAAAAGATAATCGATTCAAAAAGGGGTGTGTGTGACTTGTAGCCCCACCTTACGCAAATGTCCTATGAGAAATGGGTATTGCCACATGGGTTACACAGACAGATGATACGCAGTGGTCCACGCTTGCACAAACCCCCATCACATGCATACGGATTGTTCTTGAGGACTGTTTTAAGATTATAGGCAATCTTGTTGCCTTGTGGTTAACATGATTATTAAAAATAAAGCAGTTCAGCAGAATGCAAACTATCCATGTGAACTCTGTTTGTTTTGGGTTGAGCGTTTCTTGTTCATCCAGAAAACACTTAGAAACTGGCCCAGTTTAAGGCAGTTAAAATCATTGTTAATCATTGGGGAGAGTCCTATGAGAGCGAATCAGGAAGGTTACACCAAGCGTCATATTCTAAAAGGGGGCATCATACCTGGCTTCGTGCTCTGCATCTTGCCCCATGTACCCCCAAATTCTTAAGCACAATCTTTTCCCAGAGTATCTTTGGTCAGTGCCAGACTTTAGGAGGAGATGTTCTGCAGCTGCCTGTCAGACGAGGGAGGGGCAGCTCCCCACTCAGTGGCCCCCACTGCCGTGGCCCTGGTGGAAATACTGCAAGCCTCTCTTCTTCCCGTTAAGTTGCTCTGCTTATGACAACATTAAGTTGTCACTGGCAGGCATCAGGAACGAGCCTTCAGTCCTGGCAAGAAGAATTAAAGGGCCACCGAAGATTGATGCTGTCTGTTCTCATTTCAGAAAAGCAACAGGTCAGGCAAATGAATTTTTTGGTCTTTTTTTTTTTTTTTTCTGGCTTCCTTCCAATCACTACACCAGAAGCCAACACTTTTCTTGGTAAAACACAGTAAATATAAAAGCACCCAGGGGCGATTCATGACTCCACATACAAACTACCTCTCCTTTTTTTTCCCCCAAAACAAATACTTATTGAGCATTTATTACGTGCAGGTCCTCAGAGCATACAGCTGGTTGAGAGACTGGTCCCTACCCTCAAAGGGCTCAAACCCACAAGTAGGAGAGAGCCAAGTGAGCAACTAACAGGAGCCTCCCTCCAGACCCGAGACCACAGCACGAAGCCTGGGTGTTGTGGAAGCTGTCAGAGTTTCTAGAAAAATCAGTGGGCTTGGAAATGGAAGAAGCAGCTGAGGAAAAAAACCCCACTTAGGAGCCTGGGTACACTGGTTTATTTTATTTCAAATTGCTAGACAGATGGAAAAAGAATAATAATGGTTAACATTTATTGAGTGCTCACCACATGCCAAGCATTATTCTAAGTGCTTTATGTGTATCTTCCCTCTTACTCCTTATTACCACCCTGTTTCTTGTTTGTTTGTTGTTGGTTTTGGGTGGTTTTTTTGTGTGTGTTTTTTGTCCTTACTCTCCTGTATAATTTAATTTTCTTGTGAGCAGGGGTTCTGTTTTGCATCCTGCGCTATCTCCCAGTTCCCTGAATGGTGTCGAGCCCATGGTATGACTCAGTAGAAGTTGTTCAGTGAATGAATGAAGCCTCTCCCGTTATGTATTATCCCAACTTTACAACCTCAGAAACCAAAGCACAGGTGGGAAATGGAACTTGCCAAGTACACTCAGCCGATAAATTGTCAGGCTGGGATTTCAACTCCGACCCTGTGACCTCCGAGCCCCAGCCTCTGCCTGACTCATTTCTCTGGCAGTCTTTGCCAAGGCAGAGGTTAGGACTTAGAAAGAAGGGAGGGAGCGTGAAAAGGGAATGTTTTGTCTCAGATTGATCTCTTTGTCCAGCTCCTTGCTTCCCAGTACCGCCCTGCTGCCAGGACTCACACCCAGGAGGATGCTCACCATCCTGCCTCACACCGAGCAGTACCCCATGTGGGATGACGTCAGCAGCAGAACTCACGCCTACGGGCAACCCTCAGACCCAGGCTTCATCCCAACACTCCCTCTTCTCAGCGATGTGAGCACGGACAATTTATTTTACCTTCCTGAGCCTGTTTCTTTACTTGCAAGTTGAGGAAAATAATAGGAACATAACAGTAATAATTTTATTGCGAAGTACATGTGACAACAACAACCATAATAATAATTATCTTGCAGAATTTGATGTGAGGAGTAAATAAATTCGTGGGTCTAAAGTTCCCAGAAGAATGCCCAGGACACAGTGAAGATCAATAAAATGCCCCTTCCCTGCCTCTACCTACCATCTTTAGCATCATTTTTAAGGGAGGAGGCGTTGCATGTTCTAAAGAACCGCCACCAAAAATGCACTTTCCAAAGGAGCCTGTTGATAAATCAAGCACGTTTCTTCTCATTCCAACTACTTGTAACGCATTTGCCTGGCAACAGCAACTGTCTGCAACAGAGTGAAAACTCAGAATAGAGGTGTATGGACTCTCTTTTGCCCTAATGATTACTCAAAGGCCCGTGACTAGATCAGATCCCGCTCCTGCATTTGCCTGTCATCTAACTCTGGGTTTCTGGCATTCCTGCTAGGAAATGGAGCAGTGAAAGGCAAAAGCCCAGGGAGAACCCAGGCTGATCTGAAAGCCCTGGGAGCAAAAGAAGGACTCAGGCTGAAGTGAAGGGTAAAAAGTGCCAAGGAGCAGCCACATGGGGTCCACACCACCTAGACACGCCAGGACCAGCGGGAGCTGAGAAAGGCACAATGATCCGAGAAGGGGACATGCTCTTCGATTCAACCAACTGCAATGGAACATAAGATGAGTCAGTGTCTCAGGAAATGTCAGGACAGGTGTGGTAGGAGAAGGTTACATCAGGTAGCTCTACGCACAAAAAAAAAATCACTTGGCTTTGGTTAGAAGAACATTTCAAAACTAAAAATGAAAAATGTAATTATTCCAGATGCAGAATAGTTACAAAATATATTTATATTTTGGGTTGGCTCGTTGAATGAATGAATGAATGAATGAAATTCTTTAGTGTACCACACAGACCCACCTCAAGAAACTCACTCTACAAAGTTTTCAAGAGATCTTGATTGTTGCGACCCTTCTTTGTCTCTTGGCTGATATTTCTAAAATGGCACACCAATTTTTTGATGCATTTTTAAATTATAATTGTCAACTGTCCCCTGACACACACATATATAAAGCTTTTGAATTAGTCTTTAGTTATGAGAGGATAGGTGTTTATGGTAGGAAAGGGAATAAAAGGAGTAAAGCTTTGACAAAAAATTGTTAAATGTCAAGTACAGGCCAGTCTTGTGTTAACCGTGTGTGAAAGAAGCAGATGATGGAAGGAACACACGTGTTGGGGGGCCGTGGGTTAAGAGTAGTACCCAGAACTCAGTACTTTCTAAGGGCTTTACATGCGTTGTACACTCATATATTCACAACTGTCCAAAGTGCTACCAAGGGGCAGAGCAAGCAAACTTACAGAGAATTGTTATCTTTAACCTCTATGTCACACTGACTTCAACACGTGAATCCTGCCTCTTATTAGCTGGAGGACCTTAGTCAAGTCACCTGATTTCTTTGCATCTGTTTGCTCATGTATCAAGTAGGAATAATAATTTCAGTGCACTCTGAGGACTAAAAAGTAACCGCCTAGCACATAGCAGCTGTTCAATAAATGGCAGCCATTATTATTCATTATTGTTTCATTTGACTCTTAAAATTGTTATAGAGAATCCGAATTTCAGAAATCTTTACTCAGTGAAGATCAGACAGCTAGAAAATGGCAAATCTAAAGTTCACTTACAAGTCTGCCTAACTCTAGTACAGTTTTTCAAATTGATTTTATTTTTTAGAGCAGTTTTAGGTTCATAGCAAAATTATGAGAGAGGACACAGATTTCTGTTCTATCCCCTGCCCCCGCACACACACAGCCTCCCACATTATCAATATCCCCCATCAGAGTGGTCCCTTTGTTGCAACTGATGAACCTACCAGTCTATGATTTTCTGCAAATAATTCTGCTTACAAAGTGATTTTCACCTTAGGTTGAAAATGAAGGTGGTTCACAATGTAGACGAAGTGGCCAGCATTGCCTAGAGGAAAATCTGCCAGAGCAGATCTCTGACTCCGGCATTTTCAGATTTAATTCCCTTTCTCCCAGCTTCACGTGCTTGCCCTGAAAATCAACTTCCTCTTTATATACGTCTTCCTTCCATTTTGCTGCCTACTGGAGTTCCTGGGATCAGTTAGGCAATTTGGTGGAAGACATTTGCATAATAATGAGGCTAGGTGTCCAGCCTGGCTGAAATGCAGCTACAAAGGCTTCTGTGGAACCAAAGAAACCTCTGGCAGAGATCGGACAGTCCTGAGAGGTAGAAGCTCAGTTCTTAGCTCACAGCCGCCACACGAGCTGTGGGCAAGAATAATAGATCAGCTCCTCCATCATTCAACTTCAGTCATCTAGAATGATATGAGCCTTGCAAAGGCCACGGGTGCTCTGCTTGGCCACATGGGAGGAAGAGCAAGGGGCCAAGGGAATATAAAGAAAAATGGACTGCTCCACATTCTGCAGTTGTATCTACAGGCTAGCTCTCCCACCTCTTGGCTGTAAACCTCGCGCCTCCATCTTTGGAGAAATGGAAGAACCACAAAATTCCCCATTCTCCTTGCAAAGCAG